ACTCTTCCCTCCCTCCCCTCTCTATCTCTATCTCTCTTTCCTTCTGTCCCTTCTCCTCCTTCACGTGCACCTTGCTGCTTCAGTCGTCGTGCACGTGATATATGTCCTGTGTCACGTCACGTGGCAGCACGAATCGATCACGCCGTGATAGCGTCACGCCAATAGGGAAGGGTTTGGAGGGGGGAGAGGGCAATTAATTAAATTAAATGTGTTTATTGTGTTTATAGTATAGAATCCGAGTTTGTCTGTATGTTTGTTTTGTTTTTCTTTCTTTTATGATGTTATTGTTGTTGCTTTTGCTGTAGCTGTTGATGCTGCTGTTACTTAAATAGTCGTTGGGTGGTTGGAGGGCGCCACTAGTATAATTTATTTATTATGTACGGCCTATGTCTTTACTTTCTCTCTTACCCCCCGGGCGGTGTTACTGACTGAAGTGTCTTTAGGCCATTTCCAAAGGAGAGGGGGAGGGGTATTAATCTGTTCTTATGCACAGCAGAATTGTAATTGTAAATGGACTGATTTATCGATTTCATGCTCTTATAACTGTGCCTGAACTGCAACAGGGAACTGCTACTTTTTCTTTCCTAATCCTTTCTATCGTCATTCTTCCTCTACTTTTTGTATGTTTGTCACACTCTTGTGACCCGCTATTTCCGGGGTCCCTTGATAGTCGAAGCAGACTTTGTGCCGTTGAGAGGTGAGCAAAGTAAGTCTGGTTACCTGTAAGGACTTCTCTGTTTACATCCACCCCTTGGCGCTCATATGACCTTAATATGCAGTTGCGAGCGCCGTAAAACCTCTACTAAAACTAAACTTTACCTCTCGTTTCTGTCTGTCTTGTTTGTCCCTGGTCGTTGTCGTGTCGACACGTTTCTTTTTTACTCAAACGCAGTAGCTTAAATTATCGCCATGGTTGTTGCTATTGATTTTGAAAATATATATTGACCATAACCGACCTGTTGGACTCGAACACGTGTGGGTTGTTGGCGTACTCTGGTGTGGTTTGCTCCTTTCCTTTCGGACATCTATCGTCCGTATCTCTCCTCCTTGTTTTCTTTGTATGTAAGTATTTAGTAACACCTCTAATCTTCAGCACTTATGATATGACCTAATAATCGTGTTGAAAGTGCCGTAGAACTTTTACTTTAACTAAGAGCTCGAGACTTACAGCATCACAATAAGCTTGGTCCTTGTTTTAAAACATTATGGACAGAAATACTGTAGTCTTTGTTGATATATTTCTGTTGACAGTGAAAGGATTAATAGTTTAATAAGAGTGCGGGTTCGAGGATGGTTGTCTCGAAATCTCGGTCGTTAAAAGGTAGATTGTTGTTATGGTTGTCTTAAAGTTCTGTCGGACGTATAATTTGTTGTTTCTGAAAAATATTGTATCATGTTATAATCTTTACGTTGATTGAGAACACCTGCCTTTCGGAAAGAACGTGCATGTTGAGATGACTTGAAAGCGACATAAATTCGGAACAATTTTCCTACCCCCACCCCCCCCCCCCCTTTTTTTTTTTTTGCACACCATGGTCGGCCGTACCAACTGAGAAAAGGACAGGCCCGATCATGAGAGAACGTGCACGTTAATAAAGCTCTTCGCATGGCGTTACAGCAGCACAGTGGGTGGTTGGCGGGTGCTCTGATGTGGTTTGCTCCTTCTTTCCTATCAAATATCTATCGTCCTGGTCTCCCCTTGTGTTTCTTTCTGTCTGTTTGTCTCACTTTTCCCTCATAATGACCGTTATTGTTTCAATGTGATATCTTTCTTTTAAATAAACAAACCAAACACTCGCTTAAATTAAAAACAAGCAAATACACAAATAATTAAACTATACACACACCAGCACATTTGAATGATTCAACATTTGACCTAATTGGAATGAACGCAGACCTCCCAATAATACTGTGTGCATACATGTATATGTACAAACAAACGAACAAACGAACAAACAAACATGAAAACTAAAAAAAAAACCCAGAGGACAACAAACAAAACAAACAAACAACTAAACGAAACATCAGCACATTTGAATATTTCAACATTTAACCTGATTGGGATGCACGCTGACCTCCGTATAATATTGTGTGTATATTATAATGTACATACAATGTAGGGAACTGATTCAGCAGAATGGAATGCAATCACTGGCTATGGTGTGTTTGTGTGGAGGGGCGTGGGTATATGTGTATGTACGTACGTGGGTATGTGTATGTACGTGGGTATGTGTATGTACGTGGGTATGTGTATGCTCGTGGGCATGTACAAACAAAAGAGATTTAGAGATAGAGAAAGACAGAAAGTGTAGGCAGAGGCAGAGACGACGAGAGGGAGGGGGGGAGAGAGAGAGAGAGAGAGAGAGAG